CTTTTTAATCAGTGAAATTACCTTTTTACTATATATATTGTGCCATATGCCAAATTTTACTTTCATGAGGCAGAATTCCAATTTACTTCTCCAATAGGTAAGTATGAGAAAAAACATGACATAACAAATGTAGAAAGGTATTATCGTAACTCATCAACGGATGATCTCTTCAGTAAGAAATGCAGGAGCCTGAGTCACACTGAGCCCCTGCCTCTCCCTGGGCTGGCCCACAGGGACTGTGCCGGGATGGCGCCCCCTGGAGGGAGAGCTCTGATGGGCTTCACCTGGTGGCCAAGGCCCCTTCAGAAAGGATACTTGGTGCCACTCAAGGTGAAGTGTGATCCCACAGGCCATTTCTTTCCAAACAAACATGTGAAAAGATGGCAGACGATAAGCAAAGCTGCAGTTCACTCTTGTGTCTACTGCTGGCCAGGACTGTGGTGACCAAGGCCCGGACAGAGTTAAAAGGCCACTGACGACACTGTCACAGGATCAGACAGGCGAGTGAGTGAAGGTTAGAACTTTCAAATGCCATTGATTTAAATTTGCAACATTAACTTATTTAATTATTTACAACAGTTAGCTTCATACTAGTTCAAATTCAAGTTGCTTTGTTTTTATTTTTTTCTTTCTCTTTTTAACCTTCAGTTTATTTGAATTTTACAATTTCATTTCTTTCCTAATTCTCAGGTTTTGATAAAGTTATGATGACTATCAGTCTGTTAAGAAAAATTCTTCCTTAAATCTTGTAACTTGAAGGCTAAATTTGAACATTGACAGAAGACTGCATTAATTACCTTCTGCTATAAAATGATGTATTACAATTTGTTTTTTCTCATATTAGTAAGATACTAGAGGCCCATTGCACGAAGATTTGTGCAAGAATAGGCCTCCCTTCCCCTGGCTGCTGGCATCAGTTTTCCTCTGGCACCCGAGACCCAGGCCTTTGCTCCAGCCACCACCTTCCACCTTCACTCTGGCTGGAGATTCAGTCTTTGCTCCGGCCAGAGCGCTGCTTCTGTAGCTCCCTCTGCCCCCCACCCTCCTCATCACAGCAAGTGTCCTGCCCCTTTCTTGTGTATGCAAATTAACCCACCATCTTTGTTGGGCTAATTTACATATGCCTGATTGGTTGGTGGGCGTCATGGAGATACGGTCAATTTGCATAACTTTTATTAGTGTAGATTCAGAATATTTCTTTCACAACAAAGCAGGTCAGAATACAGAATGAATACTTTTGCCTAGCACTGTCAATGTAACCATAAAGTAGGGCTTAGGGAACAGAAAGCCATAAACACACCCAGTGCATTACAACCCATTTCAAGAGAGAAGTGAACAAGCAGAAGAGAGAATGGCCTCTTGGGACATACCGTATTTTCCGGCGTATAAGACGACACTGTGTTCTAGTAAAAAGCTTGCTCAGATTGGCCAGAGTCAGAGAGGCGGTCTATTAAAAAAAGAACTGGTGTTGCCTCGGAAGTGGGGGGTAGTCTTATACAGCGAATATAGGCCCAAACCTGTTTTAACTGTAAAATTAGGGGGTCGTCTTATACACGGGAAAATACGGTAAGCTGGTGCACCTGCAGCTCCCCGACTGAGCCAGGTGGCAAGCGGCAGGCAAGGCTGGATTTAGGTAATTCAGTGATGAGGCCGAGGTTCTGACTGACCAGCTCGGGGCTGAGATCGGGTCATGGTGACAACAGGGCGGTCACGGCCGGGATGGTCCTCACCTCTCCCATAGCTGGGGAGCCGGCGATTAGTAACATTTACAAATTGTTCCTCTTGAACTGAAACAGCATATGATTATTGATGTGAAACTCACTCTTTCAGAACTGCATTCATTTCAATGAGGTACCATTTAAAGTTTGCCTTTGCTGAATTTATGAGAAACATATTCTAACGAGGACAGGACAATTTCAGACAGCACCTCATTTGTTTTAGAGAAAAAAACTTTAACCTGTCTGGAAAACATCTTTCACAATGTAATTTAGAAATAAAAGGCGCATCAAACTCACCTACTTGTACGTCCTGTGCTTCCTAAAACACATTATACAAATTAAGGCATAAAACCAGGGCTGTGTCGTGTAAACCTGTATATGCGGCACCCAGACACCTGGGGATCTGCTATCTGCCCGAGGCAATACTTCTTATAGCGAAACTCAGGGAGACCTGCCCACTGCACAGTCAGTGACAAATATGCCATGTGGTGGGCAGCGGGGCAGACACGGGCCCAGAGCACAAAACAAGTGCGCGCGTCCTTGTGAAACCCATTTCTGCTCTCTTCCTCCTGCACAAGTGCCTTTGTGAGCGATTAGCATGTCAATTACATAATTCCTTTCTATTTATTAAGGCAAGTCCCAATGGCCCTCTTTACTTGCGAGCACTCGAAGGGTAGTTATTAAACGTGCTTACTTGAAGGTTTACTAGTTCATAAAATGTATGGCGAACATTTTGACACACTAAGATCATCCCATTTGTGTATTTAATAATTTAGGTTTTACAGTATTCATAGACATTTCTAAAAATGTCTTCTCTTAACGTCATAGGAATTTTTTCTTAGTCTCTGGTATTGTTGGTCTTTTTCCCAAATGGCATCCATGCTCCTTGAAGGCAATTCCTGGAACCAGTGACAGACGCAGGAGGGACCCTCACAGTGGAAGGCGCTGGAGATGGGGCTGGGAAAGGTGCACACACAGAGCACAGACGTACGGACTCTTTCTTTCACAGTTAGAGAGTGCTGCGTGTGGAAATTACCACCCTTACTTGATTTGTTTTAGTTTTTAAATAGACTTTTATCGATTTCAGAGAGAAAGGGATAGGGAGAGAGAAACATCAATGAGAGAGAATCATTGATCGGCTGCCTCCAGCAGGTCTCCTGCTGGGGATTGAACCTGCAAGCAGCATGTGCCCTTGACTGGAATCGAACCCAGGATCCTTCAGTCTATCCACTGAGCCACACCAGGTAGGACATCATGCTTACTTTAAACGGTTTCTAATACCAGTACGACCTAAACTCAGTCCGTATGCCCTAGGAAAACCTCGGGACAGCGGCCCCTTAGCCCTATAACCTCTGGCAGGTCCCCGGGGCTGCATCCATGTCAGCCGCTCCAGAGTTGACATGAAATTCAGACTCACTGAGCGTTAGAATCAGAGGCTACTTCCAAGGGACCATACCCCCCCCCCCACCCCCCTCCCCCCGTCCCGTCCCGAACAGATCAGTTCCGTGAGCAGCGTCCTGGGACCCAGCAGCTCGGATGAGCCCCCCACGGCTCAGTGCTCTTACATATTCAATAATTCCAGAAACCGAGGGCTTTTCTCCAAAAGAAATCCCATTTCTACAAAAACTCTCCTCCCTTGGCGGGCAAGTGCTCTCTTGTCCTTCACAAGCCTGTCAGACCCCCTCCTCTGGGAGATCACGGAGGGAGGAGGGAGGCTGCGGTGAGTCCGGAGCAGGGCCCGGCCTTGGCGGTCCAGGAAGCCCGGGTCTTCCCAGCGCAGCCAGGCCTGCAGCTGCTCTGCCCTGGCCTCCGGCGACATTCTGAGCAAAGCCCACGTTTCCGTGCCTCTCACACTCAGGACCTGCTTTCCACCTTCAGTTTCCTCTTTGCACGGCAGCCAGCAAACTCAGAGGCAAGAGCAGGAAAACAAGTGGAATTACACCCAACATTGCACTGTGCATTCTATGCCTTCCGTGGTCCTGCCACTGGATGGAAACCCCCAGGTGCCTGCAGCTCACACGTGGAGACCATTCACGACACGCCTGTCGCCTCTGCCACAGACACGACAGAGGCAGGGAGGCCCGGGAAGAGCGTGGTGTGGCGCTGCTGATACAGTCTCCTCCAGAAACAGCTGGCTCGGCACAGAACCAAGCCCACAGAGCAAAGTGCTACACCGGAGGCACCGAAGGCGCGTGCAAAACAAGACAAGGCACCTTCAGGCTGCAGTGCCAGCCGCCGGCCAGGAGAGCCGCCCGAGGAAGCAGGTGAGGCTGTGGGGGCGCCCGGGCCCGATCCCCGAATCCCGCCACGGCCCCTGGGACTCAGAAGCTCCCACGGCACACCGACCGCGTGTGGAGGGCAGCAGTTCGCTCCAGGGCCCTGCAGGGAACTCACCCTCCTCACTGGGACTGCTCCTGTATTGTCAGAAGTGAGGAAACTGGGAATGGTGCCAGACTATCGCATTCTCTCTAAATTATCCTTTAATGTCTAATTCAAATAAACGAAATATAAAGAAGGTGCTAAATTCAAATGCCTTGTCAAAAATGACTTTGGGGGGAAAATGTGTACACACACCCCCACACACAACGTTTTAAACCAGGTAAGAGGATTCTGCACGTCTACGACAAAACAGACATCCGCTGCCAGGAAGGCATAGAATGCACAGTGCAATGTGGGGCGTAATTCCACTTGTTTTTCTGCTCTTGCCTCAGTTTCCCCTTTGAAAGACATGTCCATTTCAGACTTTCTCCTGTCTTCTGAAAGGAAGACCGGTGACGGCTGGGGAATTAGAATTATTTACCTGATTTGTGCTTTGGAGACAAACTGGAGGGGATTTAATGGGCGATCCCCTGACCCGCAAGCACGTCATTGTGAGGGTAATTCCGCAGAGGAGGAGCGGGCAGATCAGAACTCAACACAATGAAACCGAGTTTTAAATAAGACGCTTTTGAGGACAAGGCTTGTGTCTTTTTCCCAGGAAGCATTTAGAACTGTACTACAGAAATAAGAGTTACGCCTTTATTAGGAACAGCGTGAAAGCACCGACCACAGTGTCTGATGTGCCGACGCTTAATGAAGAGTTTCTGTGATTATTACTCCCATCATTATGGGCAACTAAAGGGCTGTGGGTTCGCATGAACCTCGCAGATCTGCCAGGTAACACATAGCGGGATCTTCGAAGATGTTTACACCACTCAGATCCCGAAGAACTAACATGAACAAAACTGCTGCACCCCCGCCAGGCGCCTGGAACGCCTCTCCTTCCTTCCTTCCCTTTCTTACCTTGTGGTCCATACTGGCTCATCTGCGGGCCGTACGAGCCACTCGAGTTGCTCTGCTGAAAGCTGCTCATCCCAGGATGCATCTGGCCCCCAGGAGAGGGGTGCGGCGACATGGACGGGCCTGTCTGCTGAGGCCCATACTGAGACATCTGGGGGTTCCTTTGTGTGCCTGCCATGAAACCTAACAGGAAATAAAAGGCAACACATAAATGCGGTGACAGACACGGCCACGGAACTGTGTGGAGAACTGGGGCGGGAGAGGTAACATCGAGGTACATCTCAGACCCAGGGTGGGGCTTTTGGAGAGCTCAGGGTTCCGTGGACTGCGGACTGGAACTAGGGAAAGGAGGAGAGGGAGGAAAGACAGTTCCCTCGGCCTGTCTCACAGAGGTCCCCACAGAAAGCAGCTGTGAGGACGGGACCCTCCTAGCCGGGAGGGACATGCTGCTCTCGCCACTTCCAGGGAGCTTTGTCACCTCCACATCTGTGGGACGCTGTCACTCAAACATCCCACCCCTCCTCACGCCCCGCCAACAGCGCCTCCTCCTGCGTGTAACTGTCCTTCTCCGTCTCCTAGAGCAGCGGTAGGCAAACTGCGGCTCTCGAGCCTCCGTTTGCTGCTCTGTTGACTAATGAGTTTTGCTGACCACTGACCTAGACTCTCAATTCCAATAATTATAGGCTGTTGTTGTTCATTATGATTAAGCCTCTATCCCAGTGGATGGCAAACTCATTAGTCAGCAGAGCCATAGTTTGCTGACCATTGTCCTAGAGCAACAACCATTCACCTCGACTCCTACGCAGAGAGCAGACCTGTGAGTCCCCTTCTCACACTGTCACTGGGGGCGAACTGGAAACAACTAGAACATGGTGGCCTGTACTAGTGTCTGATATTCCAGAACAGAACAGACCTTGCCCCGCACACCGTCCTGCCCGAGGTCTCCCTGTCTCCATGGACAGCACCATCACCCACCCACACGCTCACGCCGGAACTCCTGACACCATGCCCCCTCCCTGATTTCCTGTGCGACCCGCCATCTGCACATCCCCAGCCTCCACATCTGACACGTATCGCCTCTGCTCCATCCCACGTCCATAGCCAGCCGGCTCCCCCTTCTCTCCCACAGCGGCTGTGCCGAGCACCTCCCTCTGCCTCGCTTTGCTCCTTTGGCTCACTTTCCCCACAGCTGCCACGCCACCTCTCAGGAGCCCAGAACGCAACGAGAGCATGTCTTCCCTGCACAGAACCCCCAGGCTCCCGCTGACCCTGGGTCCAGAGTGCAAACCCCTGGCCTGGGGCTGAGATCATTGTCTCACTCTAACCCCATTTCTTTGCTTTCTCCTCCTCCTCCTCCTCCTCACTGACCTGTAAGCCATCCGCCTTCTGGGAGTTCTCCCACTGCCAGCTCAGACTGCCTAACCGTGCATGTACCCTGACCGGGAATCCAGCTGTGTCCTCTTGGTTCACAGATCAATGCTCAACCACTGACCACGCCAGCCGGGCTGAAATACACATCTAGACAAAGTGCATCACAAATCAAGACATGCCTCTCAGAAGCCAACATCGAACCAGCGAACTGACAAGAGCTGTTGGATTGACAGCTCTGAGAACCCGGAGTTGGGTTGGTGCGAGTTCCCGGATGTGGGGCGAAGGCTCCAGTGCGCTGGACGGGCCGAGAGGGGCAGGTCTGGCCTCGTCCGGAGGGAAACCTGGAGCAGAGCTTCCGGAGAGGCCACTGAGGCACGGGGCGGCAGGCCATGCCTGGGCCAAGGCGGCCAACCAGGCCAGCTGCGACAGGACTTCTCCGAGGCCTGCGTGGCAGACATCGCAGGAAAGAAGACCTCTTGCCGTTGCTTCTGTAGGAGATAGACATAAAAGTACGGAGAGCTGGTCCTTATTATCCTATTTCACTTATTTATAAAGATGAGCCTTATGAAATTGAGCTCAATTGGCAGCTTCCAGATATAAATCAGCAGAGAAAATGTTTGCTTTTTCAAATCTGAAAACAAACAGAAATCAGAGCACTAAAATTACTGAAAATGATTGCATCTTACGACGTTACATGAAATATTTATCTAAGCCTTACGACAGAACTCTCCGGAGTTTCCCACAGAGTCCTGTTTAATAGAAAACGTGTTTCAATTCCGTTCGGCCCGGCGGGCTTCCTTCCTTCCAGAGAAGGCCTGCGTTCTCCCTCTTCAGGTCAGGAAACACAGGTCCTTTCATCAGCCTGGGACTTGCTTCGCCACGAACTCTGATCGCTGTCCGCCTGACGCTGTGGCCGCCTCTGGCACTGCCCACGGACTCCCGTTCTGCTCAGAGGAGCTCTGAGAGTCTGCTTGGGCAAAACCATCCTTTTATTTCTGTCCTTAAAGTACACCGTCACGTCCACATGAACGATCGCTGGCTTTCTGCAGAAAATCAGACGTGAAAGGCTCCAAGACGGGTGGGTGTCACAGCAGCACATTCCTGCCGTGGGGACGAGGTGACATGGGATGGGATCCACCTCCATCCACAGAAATGGAAATCGGAAAGCTGATTTTGCTCTGATGCTTTGGCAATGATACCTCTCACAGAGCTTCCGGAAATCTCGTTCTGTATTTTCGTTATTAATAGAAGCACCTTCCCCGTCAGCCCCGACCAGGACAGGGGGACATAACCACCCAGCTCCTCGGGGCCTCACGCCTCTGACAGTGCCTGCAGGACAGAGGCCTGGGTCCCGGCCTGGCTTGCACACTAGTCCAGGACCCAGCAGGAAAAAGACAGGCGGACAAACATATGGATCCAATTAGCAGTGTGACTTTAGGCAAATGCTCCAAAAAGCCTCCAAAACAGCCCGGCTGGTGTGGCTCAGCGGTTGAGCAACAACCTATGAACGAGGTTTGATTCCCGGTCAGGGTACATACAACGTCAACTGCTGCTGGAAAACCAGTGCAGCCCAAAGCATAGCTCACTGCCCAAGAAGGAGCAGAGAGCAAAGGAAGAGCACGTGTGCCAGCTACGGCTATGGCTAAGGGCAGGGGAGCGAGCCAGCACAGACCACGTACCCTGAGTGTGGTTTCCTCGTCTGACGTGCGGGTAGCGGCAGCCGGTCCTGCCCTGTCGGACACAGCGAAGCACCCACAGCCCCACAGGCCACCAAAGCAAGGCCCGCTTCCCTGCTGGCACTTGGACCACCCGTGTCCATGCTGGCATCCGTTAAGAATTCACTCCCAGAATAATGGCCTTGCCCTCAGCGAACGCAGACTCAGCACCTAGCACGTGCCAGGCTCCTGAGAACATTCGGGATGAGTTAACCAGGCCAGGGACCCATGTCGGGGATAGGGCTGAAGAGTGGGTGGTAAAGGGTGGGAGAGAAGAGATTACATAAAGATCCTCGCAGGGTCCAGCAGGGTGGGAGGCAGGAGCCAGTGGTCATGACACGGAGGACCAGCGAGGGAGGCTGGGTGGGCCCAGACAGGTCTCCGGACTGGCTCGCGGGCACCCCTTCTCGGGCGGCACAGAGAAGCTCCCACGGCATCCACGGGGGAGGACAGTGCAGTCAGTCTTTCGGACAGACACGTGGACGCACGGAAGCGGGCAGGAAGGGAGCGGAGCTGGAACAGGCAGGGCCCTGGAGGTCGGTGAGGGCACGCGGTGGCCCGGCCAGGCTGCTACAGGGACGCCAGGGAAGGAGACGTGTGCGAAGCACTGAGGGGCAGCACGCGCAGACCGTGATGATGGGGGGATGCCCTGAGCTCTCGGGCCAGGGCAGCTGGCAGACATGGTCGCTCCCAGACCCAGAGCACAGAGCGCAGTATCAAGTGCACGTGGGATGCTAAGATCCACGTGTTCTCACACTCTCCCAGAAGCATAAGCCATTACAGGTGAGTGCTAACGAGTAAAAACAAGCTGAAATGGCCAAAGCAAAAAATACCGCTTATGGCAAAATTAACAAAACTATGATTTTAAAATATTTAAAATTTAGACGGATGATTCCTCAATGAATATAGACCTACTTTTACTGTATGTGCTACTTGTTTTCCAGGGTTTTTTTTGTGGCCATGTCTCTTGATAGCAGACTAAATAGGAAATTAGGCCCTACGCTGTCATTTCTCTCATTACTGACTCGGTTTGGCTTGGTCCACAATCCAGCTCAGCGTTCTGGCGGGAGAAATTAGAAACAGCTTTCTAGATATTCTCTCTTGTATAGAACCTCCCATTTGAGTTCATTTTCATCTGTCATGGATTATTAAAAAAGGGATCCTCAATTAAGAGCAGAGGCTGAATTAATTGCATCGGGGGGTGGGGGCGGCCTCATGAATGCCTAACGCACCGAGCTGCTGTCCTTGCACCGGATGCTCAGGAAGCATGCCTCTCCTCCTGACAATGCCCCGTGCTAGCAGCAGCATCACTCTGTGTAGCGCGCTCACAAGGCAAACAGCGCCTCCCCGTCCGGGGTGAGGAGGAAGGCGGGTGGAGAACACCTCCTAACGGCCAGGCTGCCGGTGAGACACGCCAGCACCTGCCGACTCACCGGCACACAGAACAGAGAGGACCCCACGGAGAGAAACAAAACAGCTCCAACCCCACAGCAAGAGAAACAAGAGTTCTTGCAGGCGTAAGAACAGAGAGCAACCTTACACCCTACTTGTGACTCGACAGTTATCTTGGTGGTCTCCTTCGTTTCTCTACTAACTTAATCAGGAGTCAGGTCAATTAAGATATTCAACAATAATTTCTAAAAGTTCAAAACCAATTTTTGGTATAAAAATCACTATGAAACCTGAGCTAGGTGCACTAAAAACATGAAAAAGTTTTACTTATTTGTGTCTCACTATCCCTGGGTCATGAAATGCATGGCTCCTTCGGGGGCGGCCGGGTGCTTGGGTTTGATTCCCGGCGTGAGGACCTGAGCAGACCTATTAGGTCTAGTAATAATTAATGTCGTTTTCTAATACTTTTTAAAATCGAATTTATTTAAACAATACAACAAAATTTAATCAACAATATAGTTGCCGTTGTTTTCTACTACTTGTGCCAAACGCTCAGGAAGCATTTTAATCCCTCTGTTGTAAAATTCTTGTGATTTTGATGCAAAAAATTCGGTCAATGCATTTTTGAGGCATTCTTCATTATTAAATTTTTTTCCAAGAAGAAAGTTTTGCAAAGAACGAAACAAATGGTAATCGGAAGGGGCA